GCTTCGAAAACGAAGTCCAGCCTGCTTTCAGACGATCTGTGCCGGGCCCTGTTCACGCCTTAAAATTTTGCTGACCTTTTGCAGAAAAGCGCGAGTTTGCGGACGGCCTGCTCCCGGCGATTATCTGAGCTGGTGTCATCGCTGGTTTGATTACCCGAGTCTCATATAATCGCCGGGGGCAGGCGGTCCGCAAACTCGCGCTTTTCTGCAAGTGGTCCGCAAACTCGCGCTTTTCTGCAAGCGGTCCGCAAACTCGCGCTTTTCTGCAAGCGGTCAACAATTTTGGGGCGTGGCCAAACCTTCAGCTGGCGGCACTTCCTTTACGGTCGCATATTCTGCCAGCGGGCAGCAATACAGCATTTTCTGCAAGCGCTCGGCAAATAATTTCTTTCAGTGAGCGCTGGCCAAACTTTCAGCAAGCACTCGGACTCTTTTTGAGCAGTTGCGGGCATACGCCGAGCACAGGTAAGACTCTGTGTGGCAGAAATGTCACCGTTGGTTTAATTACTCAAGTTTGAGGTACTTTCTCTCAGCGAAAAGTACCTGGGGGCTGCGCTTTCCTCCACAAAGGACGGTGCGGCCCCCGAAAATTCTGCATATTATCGCGGGAAGTCAACGAGAATGCGGCCACTGGGCCGCAACTAATCTATAGGGAAACCGCGATTGTTCTCCAAGCATTCGTTCAAAATTTCGCCGAATTCTTCCAAATATTTGCAAGCGGACCGCAAGAAATCAGCAAACAATTTTTCCGGTGCCCGCCCGCCCATAGATCGCATGGCCGCCTGCCCCCGGCGATTATCTGAGGTTGGGTACTTTCCCTCAGTGGAGAGTACCTACGGGCTGTGCAGTCTTCCACAAAGGACCGTGCGACCCTCAATAATTTTGCATATTCTCACGGAAAGTGCGCGGGAATGCGGCCATTGCGCCGCAACTAATTCATAGAAAAAACCCGGTTGTTCTCCGAGCATTTGACTGAAAATTTCCAAAATTCTTCCAAATTTTTGCAAGCGGACCGCAAGAAATTAGCGAACTATGTTTCCGGTGCCCGCTTGAGCAAAAAGAGCAAGGCCGCCTGCCCCCAGCGATTATCTAAGCTGTTGCCAGCAAGCAACATCATGTTGGCGGCAATGTGTGCCATCCTTAAAGGCAGTGTCCGGGCAAAAACTCGATTTTGAGATTTTGTGCTTACACGGGCCTATTCGCCAAGCTGAATCCAAAAATTCACACTGGAAAGCGCGACGGCAAAAAAGGATTTCAGCGCAGGAGGATAAAAGCAAGTGGGCGGGGTCCTCCCCCCACCCCCCCCCCCCTACTATGAATTCACGCTGCCAGCTTCCGGAGCGGTCTTTTCGATTCCGCTAGCTGTCCTAACATCGCTACCGGCCAAGTGCGAATAATTGACTTAAAATCGGAAGCGAGAACATCGCTCCGGAAGTTAGGAGCGTGAATTCACAGTGGAGAAAACCCCCCACCTGCTGATTTCCCTCCCGAGTTAGAGCCGTTTTTCGCTCGTTTTCGCGCTCTCAAATGTGCATTTTCGGATTCAGCGTCGCGAATAGGCCCGGATAAGCACAAAATCTCAAAATCGAGTTTGCGCCCGGACACTGCCTTTAAGCAACATGTTGTTCACGTTGCAGCATATCTAGCCATAGGTGCCGCAATCAGAAATGCAAATCAGCAATCATGAAATGGACAATGCTGTGGTGGACGTGTCTATGAGCATAAGTATCGTCGTAAGATTAGTGTGTGTAAAGGAGTGAGATGTAAGATGAGAGAAACGAAAACTCGGTAATGTTTAGTTTATTCGGGCATGACGTGTGAGGTATGAGTTTGTAAAAGGTATTCCCGGGATGAGCGACATGCGATTAGTCCCGAAGCGACTGGACGCCGAGGCATTCGATGCCCTAGCGATGAGAATCGCTACGATGGAGTCGCGAAGGTAAGCCTGATGAGCTGGAATTGTGAGCAGAATTTTTTCCGCGGAAATTAGGCCCAAGGTGGGGTCGCGACCTTCAGCGCAATAACGTGGATCATTAACTATTAGACTGACTCTGCTGACACAGTTGTGTATCCCATTTTGTTGAATAAGGTGATATACAGTGTAAAAGTAAGACTGTCATTCCAAAAGATGTTCCTAAAGTAGTCAGTAGCTTGCATCCTGATCTGTGAGAGATTAAATATAATGTGGTGTAGGTGTTAACATTATGGGTGGAAACGCGGATTCAACAGTATTACCGATTGCCGTCAAAAGTGCAACGCACTTGTTGATTCAAAGGTTACCACAATATCAACGCTCGATGGGAGAAGACGGGGGTGGGAAAGATGGGTCATATTAGTAGACTTGAGAAAAAAAAACGTATGTGGATATATAACAGGATTTGTCGCATTTGCTTGAAAAGTCCAGATCTTGATGACGCGTTTTTTTTAATCACTCATAGTCACAGAATGCACATGTGGAAAGTAGTTTTAACTTCAAAATTCTCAATTCGTGCAAGTATCAGTTTTCTAATGTTATTTGGACTTTGAATATGCATCGTTGCTATTATTATTGAGTTTACGGTGTTTAATATTTGGCGCTTCTGAATTTAAAAAGTACCAACAACAACTATCTTCTTCCGCGATAACCCAAGAGCTTTTATTGCAAACTCCAATAGAGGATGTTTCTATTTTTTCATGAATGTCGATGGACAAAGGGAACAAAAAGCCAAGCTTTTCCAGTGCACCTCAAATCACTTTATTAAACGAAACTTTTCAAACATGCTTCTGAATGTTCAAGTTCAGTGGTTGTGCGATTGCAAATGGTTTTATTCTAGTTCAATAAATTAGTTGGTAAAACTACTTGATAACCTAATTGATTTGACTGCTAGTTGTAGGTATCATCAAGAAAACAATTCTCGAGTATGCATAACGGGAAAATTATTGAGACTGCGTCTGCATAAAGGGTGAGCATACATCACGCGATTTCATCGCCTCGCGATTCATCCAACAAACAACTGTTACGAGTTCATTGCATGTAACTCCCTTGCGTCTCGGTTGTGATAGTTTTCTGACACGATCAATCGCGAATAACTATCACGATCGACATGAAGGATTATCAGCTTGAAATAAACTCGTAACAATCGCATCGTTGTGAGAATCGCGAGGCCATGATCGCGTGATGTATGCGCGGCCCTTAGAGTGATGAAAATCTAGCAATTGTTAGCGATCATATTAGTAGAATAGTTGTGGCCCTTGCATAATTCTTTTATGTATCAAACCATATAGCAAGACAAGGAGCTATTGACACATTGACGACAACTTGACCCACATGGTGCCACATGGAACGATGTGATCCACTTGGTGGGTCATTGCTTCAACTTTTGTTGAAAATAGTGCTTTTTTGTAATACATTTGTTTCAAAAGTTCTCTTATTTTTTAACACTATTTTTTAACACTTGCCCTTGTTTTCCCCTGCTTCATAGGATCACCGATATGTAGTTGACGATCTGCATGATTTTAGCTGAAAAATGTTCGAATCATCCGTGGAAGGCATTGTGCCAAGAGTAAGACAACTAAAAACGCACGTTGTTGTCAACGTGTTAAAAACCCATTTCGCTATTTGGGATTATATCAGACTAGCTGGCATACTCCGCTCTGCCCTATCAATGCACAATGACAGAAATCACCATGCCCCATTTCCGCACAACCTTTGCCTGTCCCAGTCCCTACTTGTGCTAGTGCTCTGCATCCTGTTTTCGTAATCAGCATGCTCACTTACCCTCCCACCTCTTGTGCCAACTCCCAGCCGGTAGCAAATCGCTAAAAATCAATTAAATTTGAAAGTAACCGTTAACACTAAAAACTCATATTGTATTCGTGACTGACATGCTCACTTACCCCACTCTGTACCGAATCCCAGCCCCGCTGACCAAACTTTGCAGAAATCGATAAATATCCATAAAATCGATATCGATCGATACAGAAAGTAGCCTACGACATCTACCCCGCCCCCAAGTGTTTGTGTTCAAGTTTTATCCGGATTGGATCAGAAATAGAAAATTCCATTCGCAACATACTGCAAACATACAGACAGACATAGGAATGGACATACAGACAAACAGACATTCAGTTTTGTTTATAGAATACAGCATTTTTAACGCTTTTGGGATGCGCAAATTAGCGTTGATGAAGATGTTTTTGAAGCTTTCTTGCCCAAACATTGCGTGGTTACAGTACCATTGGTTAAATGCGAAATAGTGTTAAGATAAAGCTTCCTCTTTGTGGCTTTTCGCTTCTGACTTTGATATACTCTGCTAGTTAAGATTTCAAAACATTAGTTCGTATCGAACTTGTTGCAGTTATCAAACAACAGTCGTCGATGCAGTCACAGTACATCAGTGGCATCCGGCTCAACACTAGTTTTTCAATTTTGCTCATGAACCAAATGGCGAGAATGGGTAATCTCTGACTCAAAGCAAGCCGCGGATCTGGAAGTAAATTTTTCAAACCATTGAAAGACATTACAGTTCACACAATTGTTCACTAAACTCATCACTGCTCGCCTCTCTAAGCCCAAACTATTGATGGTTTCGATGTTGGTCCGGCCAATGGAGCTTGTGTAGCTTGACGGTTTCGAACATTTGTATAAAGTGAGGTGACGTCAAATTATTCGATTACACTATCCGAATCATGTTTTGAGTTACAGAGATTAACGACATCGTAATTGAAGCGGGTCGTTACCTAAACCAGTAATTAGTTGAGAAATTTGTTCAGAAATCATGACATTGGATTGGAGGGGCCCCCTATGCAATCAATGATCGGTTGAAATGGAGTGATCACTAGACAGTCAATGATGAATATAAAATTCAAGTTTGATGCGTTTGTCAAGCAATACATTTTGGAATCTTATTACAGCTTTTGAAACATACATGTTTGGGCGAATGAGAGCATGCCTTTTCCATCTCATTAGAAACGTCGACCAGTTTGTCACCGATATGCCTCCTTGCGCTTCATCTTTAATCCAAATTTTCAGCTGTTGTGTAAGTAACTATAATTCAGAGTGATCAATGCGGAACAGAGCATTTTTTCTTCTACTATACATTATTTCGTCATCGGTAAACAAGAATTAATTTTCTAAAATAACGCATATGAAGCAGATATCAAATTTAGGATGTTTGCAGCGCTGAAGTAGCACGAAAGAGGGACGTTCGCAGAAAGCTAGCAGAGCTTTCTAGGAAACCGTATGTTTATTTATAGATTGCCTTTTTATTGGGGTGCTAAAAAAGCGGTGTATCTCCGTTTTTTCTGCACTCCGTAAATTTTTTTCTTGGTGAAAATGGCCACGCAAATATCATAAGTGTTGCTTTTCTGGCAGCAACCTGCTGCTCCTTTTCAACGGTCATCGAGCCGCGTTGGAAAACTGGGCTACTGTTGGCAAAATTTTCAGCTTCTTCTATTTGCATCGCCATACCTCCAAATTTTGTTCTTTCGCACGTGATATATCATTTGAAAGAAGAAAAAGGATTCGTGAAAGTGGTATCTTTGCCAGAAATTATGGACCAGAACATTGTATCGGTCCACAATTAGCAAAATGAAGAGGATAAGCTGCATACGCAAAAGCGTAAAAAACTTAATTAGAATGTGATTAGCAAAAGTGAACTAACTCGCAGGTTTCAACGAGAAAATGACGAATGGATGTCTTTAGCCTTGAACATAACATTTATCACTTTTCGCTCACATTCACAATTTGGTGGAATTTTTTTCACAAATCTTCTGTTCTAGAAGCTTGATAAATAGCATCCACCATGGATATGGTGGCTGTCCCCCAAGCTTTACAGCATAGATACAATCGATAGTCTCAAACGCCTATTGCTCAAACTTCCTAATGTACTAAGCGACCAACTTCGCGATATAAAGGCCATAAGGAAGAGCACTCGTAAACAGCCCTACAACGAATTTGGTAAAAAGGTGTACTTATTGTCCGGGTTCCCCATTATTTTCGACAACGGTTATATTTTGAGATACCGAAATGAGCAGACAAAAATGCGCGTTTGGTGGTATTTCTCAGTTCAATAACATCAGAATGATAAAAAAATGACGAGCTTCCTTAGGCGACAGCCAGAACGTGAATGTCAAAAATGCAAGAAAGTGTTCGTAGTAAAGCAAGCTCTAAGGACAGCTAGCAGAATTTCTCAGGATTAGGACCTACCTTGAGTCAGAAAAGAAGACAAGTTAAAAAGCATGTAACTACCTCTAGAAATATCTCAAGCAAAAAAAAGCAAGCCTTCCAAAGGATCGTCATATAGAAGTCATATAATAAAATATGCAAAGGCTATGCAGGAAGAAGGCGCAGAAGCAGTATCACTTGAGCGGCAACGCGGCGCGCGCGTATCTTCACCGTTGTAAGTCCTGCGCCTCATGCGCTCTGCGGCTAATAAAGCCGCGACCTCGCCCAAAGATATTGCGCCTTGGTCGTGCAGCAACCTATAAATACTAGAATCTCGAGAAACTCAAGGAACAAAAGTAAGTACAAGAGGGAAAATGTTAGTTCTCTCGTTTTTTGCGTCAAATATAATTTTTATTTATTTTTTGGTGTCCACGGTACGTTTAAAATATTCATTGTCAACTTCCTAATTTTTGCAAAAACTTTATATGCGAAATTAGAGTGCGATTCTTTGACCATTATTTTGTTTTCAAATTATAGTTGTCAAATTGCAACGAGTTCATACATTGTTCGTGTGTGTATATCACTAGCTGTATAAGTAATCACTGTATTCGCAGGTATCTGCTGTTCGTTTCTGAATAATGTTTCGGTGTATTGAATTGTGCCCCCATTCCCCATGCATTATTGACATTCATACTGGCAAAAGACACGCTCATTAAAAGCTAGCCGCTAGTTTGCCAGAAGGAAAACTGTGAAGAGCGGACCTCTTAAGCTTTGTAGAGTACATTTCGCCCAAAGTCAATGAGCGGCGGGTTACATTCATCATCATCAGAAGTTACAACTCAACGCTGTATAGTAGCTGGAATCAAAGGGAATTAGTTATAGTCATACTAAATATGTACGCTGAGATAAAAGAGGAAGTATTATCACTAGGCTTTTGCACAGTTAATATTTTTTTTGCATATACTTTACATAAAGCAGAACGAGAAAGATGAGCTAAAAAGGCATGCTTTTAATGAGATGAGAAGGCATGCTTTTGATCGCGCAGAAATGTATAATTCAAAAGCTGTTCTGTATGCAATAGGATTGCAAATGATGAGGAATTATTTGAATAGCCTATGATTTTTCAAACTTCCACGTTGATAATCTGATCCAATTATAGCTTTGCAATGAGGAATAGGGTAACGGTTAAGTTTTCATAACGATAAATTTCGCATGTTTGTTGAAATCTTCACTCAATTTAACCTTACCCAGCTGAACATAGTCATAACCTACAAATATGGCAACCTTTGGGAAATGGAGGAATGTGACCATAACTTCTTCTGAATAAAATGGTTAGATTTAAAAGTATCTTCTCATCTAACCCACAACAAGAAATGATTGATGTCTACACCAATTTCTTGAGATGGATGTAGTTGAACGCAATTTCTTTGCTTAAATCGTTTTGTAAGTGTAACTTTGAATGTAAAGATTATTAGCGAATTGCACGTAATGAGGTAGTTCTCACCTATTACGATAACTTATCGTTTCTCAATTTTGGAAGGAAGGACAATTAGGAGCGTAATCATTGCTGCTATACTCACGCCCAAAAAGCATTTAACACTAGGGTTGCCATCGCTAAAATCGGGAACGAAAAGGCGTTGATTTCGTACTTAAAGCATGGATTCAGAAATACAATACTTCTCGAGCGTGCCCGAAATCGTTAGCACCCACTCCAGCAACCGTGCATTCTAATATAATTCCAGTATGCGAAGCAAGTAGATATCCGTGCTCAATGCATTAGATAATAAACATAACCATTCTCAAAAAATCTACGTAGTGGCTCACTATAGGGATTTTTCAAAGTTTCCAATAAAAATGGATAAGCGTGAATGAGCTAATTTCTCACTCCTGATGTAATAAGATAGGCCAAGCATCGAGTTTTCAGTGTTTTGCAAGCTAATGTCTTATACCAAAGCTACGGTGAGGCTACTGTAGTCTAAGCTTACATAAGCTGAACCTTCTGCATATCTGATTTCCCTTCGTAGAACCTGTCCGTATAGTGTTGCGAAGCTAAAAATTTGTGCGAATAGTTTCCTTGGGTTATGCAACATCCCCATATTTTTGATAATCATTCAAGGTTTTTCAAAGTACCCAAATAGGCTCTTCAGCTCCGAATAGATCAGAGTTTTGTAGTAAGCTTGGAACTCACATGTTATGAATTACAGAGTTAGCATTTGAACATATTGTAGAGCACGACACAGGATTGGCGAAATCATTACATTGACTTCTTTCAAAAAGATTGGGACGTTACAGTTCACTTTTCGCAAGTTACAGTGAGACCCTCAGCATGCAAGCAAGTTAATACTATAATCGGAAGCTCATGAATTTCTATAGGGAAAATTTTGCAAATGGCGTCCATTTTTGGGTGATTCTACAGAGCAGACCTTGCTACGCGCGAACCTAAGGGATAATGGATAAGGGCATAGTGTTCGAAACACACTGCTTTTTGATCGTACGGCTTTATCGCACGGCTGCTTTTTGTTTGATCATGCAGCATCTTGATTGTTACTTATAGATAACATATTCAATAAAAGAGCTCACTTTTACAGTAAGTTTGTATCAAAGATTGTTACTGAGTAGCTCCACAACATCTTGGTTCCTTCGCGAGTTTTCTGTTATTACGTGTAATCTATCTACGAAATCCTCACAAATTCGGATATCCCCTACCTCTAGTTGGTTTTCGCTTAGCAATTCCAGCAGACGCGGTGGCTACTGTCATTTTGCAGTGGGTGGAATACTAGGCCTCGTTCGGTCCATGTCAACTATGATAGAACTCACCATCGGCCACTCGTACACAACAATTTTCTGTTCCTGTCCCGCATCTGCCAATTTTCTACTCTCATTGTGTTTTCATAAGCAGCATGCAAAAATACCCTCTAGGACTCGGCGAGAGAATGGCAAATGAACATTAGAAATGAATTCAACTTTGCCACTTTCAATTTTTACGATCTTCCACTTCGCAACAGCTGCTTGGGTAGTTTGACTTGAACGTGCTTTATTCTTCAAGAGAAGGGCGTCTTTGCTATTTTGGACCACAGCAAAGAGGGGAGCAGGGGATTGAAACAAATTGCTACTATAAATTAAACTTTGATTGCAGACCAGATTTATGTAAAAAATGAAAAAAAAAATTATACGAATGCAAAGCTTTGCCACCCTCAGGGTGGCATTGGACATATGCCACCCACTAGATTGGAAAAAAGTTGCGCACGTTCTTCATTCACCATAATTTATGTACTTTCATGCTTTGTTCTTATTCCTTACTACGCATATACCAAGTTTGAAGCCTATTGTTCCCTGGCGTTGCAAACAATCCATTTTTTTCTTCACCGAAAGATATTCCAAGAAGAGCTTGCCACAACCTTCATTCACATAATTTTTCCACTTCGCTGCATTATGCCTCTCCTAGCCCTTGTCGTTTGTTCTAAATTTGATGCTATATCGTCGTGTCGCTTTGTGAGCCAGTAGCCAATACTATTGGTACGTGCAAAAGACTTGCTTTTTCTTGGAAATGACGCTTTATGCAGAATAGTAATTGCGCACGCCAGCGTGATAACTTGTATAAGGGATGCTAATGCTTAAATTTGTATATATACCAAGTATTTGCTGTGTCAAGATACTCCCTCTGCTTTTTCCATCCAAGCTGATAAGCTTTTCTTACCAGCATTGAGCCTCAAAACTTAGAAAATTTAATAGAATCGATGAAGACAACGAATTTCAGAGATGATTATAGTGTGAGTCATCTGCTTCTTACTTACACTCTACACCGACTCTTCCCTCCTCCACCCTAGCTCAATGTTTAGAAACTGATGAAATTAATAAAGACAGATGACTCTTAAAAGAAACTTGATATTCGTAATATGTTTCTCACTAAGCTCCCCGCACCTTCTAGCTTGCTCTACTGCAGTGTTGGCAAAGGCGATCATTCAAAAAATTTTCGCATTTTGGGAATGCGGATAGGGTTCTGACCAGGTCAACTGTGCTGACTCTGCGATCCGAGACCCTCATTTACGACCCCTACTCATGAAGGTATCCATC